TGCCATCATGTCAGACACTCCAAATTCTACCGACGACGACCGAGCAGCACGTGTCATCGCTGGACATCTCCCTTCAGGGTATACTGCAGGCCTCGATAGTGTGCATGGTGACAGCGATGCCCCAAGAGAGCCTGGGGAGCCTGAACCGGAATCATCTCTAAAACTCCAAGGGGGTGACATACACCGCGATCTGTACAAAATTCAACAGCGGAACAGATTGCAGCGGGCTGCTACCTTTTCCCATCCCAATGACTCCTCCACCGCAATGGAAAACGAGACATCGGTTGCAGAGCAACTTGCCCCAGGTGGCTTCCGTCGAGAGTTCGTCCGCAAAAAGCACGGTCGTTTCAATCCTGCTGTCATTCCCGTCACCCGGAACTTCGTCGAGTTTCTCTCACTATATGGCTCCTTTGCTGGTGAGGACCTGGAGGACTCGGAGGAGGAATCAGCGCTTGAAGATGAAGAAGGGGCGCCTTCGGAGAGGAGACCACTCCTGCCTCGGCGGCGGACCGCTGTAGCAAAACCAGGAGACGCCGGCACCACCAAGACCTTCTTCACCTTGCTCAAGGCCTTTATCGGTACTGGAATCATGTTCTTACCAAAGGCGTTCAACAATGGCGGTATCCTGTTCTCGTCCATGGCCCTGTTGACGGTTTCGCTCGCCACAACATGGGCGTTCCATCTCTTGTTGCGGTGTCGACAAATACACAAGAAGAGCGGGTATGGCGAGCTTGGTGAAGTAATTGGTGGTCCTAGAATGCGGGCTATCATTCTCGGGTCTGTCACGATCTCGCAACTTGGGTTCGTCTGTGCTGGCACGGTTTTCGTAGCACAAAATCTGTATTCCTTCCAAGATGCAGTCACCAAAGGTCCAGCTCCAGTATCGACCAATATCCTGATTACCCTACAGCTGATCGCTTTGGTCCCACTCGCATTCATTCGCAACATCTCTAAACTTGGTCCTGCGGCGCTTGTGGCGGACGTCTTCATCCTGCTCGGGCTAGCTTACATTTACTACTACGACATTTCCTGCTTGATCGACCACGGACTCAATTCAACTGTCCAATTGTTCAATCCGCAGCACTACACTCTGACCATCGGGTCAGCCATATTCACTTTTGAAGGGATTGGCCTCATTCTTCCCATTCAGTCCTCCATGCGAGATCCCGACAAGTTCGAGCCCCTTCTCTGGGTCATAATGCTCATCATTACTGTCATCTTCACCTCGATAGGAGCGCTTTGCTACGCGACCTTTGGGTCTGCGACTAAAATCGAAGTCATCTCCAACTTCCCACAAGGGAGCAGGCTTGTCAATGCGGTCCAACTTTTGTACGCCCTCGCCGTTATGGCCGGCACACCAGTCCAACTATTTCCAGCCCTTCGAATCCTGGAGGGGAAGATGTTTGGCCACCGTTCCGGCAAGCGGGACATGTCCATCAAGTGGAAGAAGAATGGCTTCAGAACCGTTCTCATTGTTCTTTGTGCTTTGGTGGCAATTTTGGGATCCAGCAACCTTGACACATTTGTGGCACTTATTGGTTCGATCTGTTGCGTTCCGCTTGTATACATATACCCTCCGCTCCTCCACTACAAAGGTGTGGCAAGGTCAAGCGGGGAGAAGGCCGGAGATGTCGTGTTGATGATATTGGGGATTGTTTGCATGATTTACACGGCTATCATTACTATTGCCACTAGCTTCATGTAGCAACTGGGAATTCTGGTACCAAAAGTTGAGACCATTCTTGAATGTTAAGAGACAATCCTGACGGATATCCCACAAACTTTGCTGGGCTAGCAGAATTGACCGATTCCGTCTTCACCCACACGTTCTTGTTCTGCTGCCTCCAACTCGTGTCAGAGCACTTTAACGTTGCTCCTTGAGGGCTTTCGCTTGGTCGAATCGGGCAATGGATCTGCGTCGTCGACATTGTGGCTGCCACGCTGGCTTTGAGAAGGTATCCCGTCTGCGCATGAACAATGCCTAGGTCCCCTGGGTGGATTCAATGAAGGGTGATCCTAATTCCACGGTTCGTTCATTGCAGAAGTGGTCTTATGGGACAAATACAGCTTTTCCCGGAGACGACCTACCGGAGTCTCCTGGGCCTTGCATCAAGTCAGGATGGGTGTTCTGCGAGTTAGAGCTTTACGGTTCTTCAACTGCGCTGGTGTTTGCAAGCAGACTCTGATGCTCAAGATCTTAGTCTCGGGCTCCTTGAGATGTTTCCAGGCATGAGTGACGGCCAACGAAAGGATGACAGTCAGTTCGACTGAAGACTCTCCAGCTTGGCCGTCCATCGCATATCATGTTGGCTTGCCATTCGGCCTCGTGCCTCGCACCAGAAAATGAGGAACTCATCTGCTTTAAAACTGCTGGTTCACCACGATGTGAGAGAGTGATTCTCCTGGGCGACGCGGGGGACCGGTCACGAAAGAGGCAGAGAGACGGGTGACGGGTTATTAACCCCATAGTGTCGGTGTCGATTAGTCCCAGAGTGCGCCTTGTGCGCTCAAGGCAATCTGTTTGCAACATCAACCCGGAATCCTTGCAAATGCCAGCATGGGGGTCCCTGACTCCCATGCTTCTAGAGGTGAGATGAGCACGGTTGGATTCTCTCCGACAAGCGGCAAGAGACTCATCAAATCATATTCTCCATTTCGGGGCCAGCGTGATAGGGGCCCATTAAAGCTCGTATTAGGATACGGGGACCAAAAGAGAATCCAAGTATAACTTACATGCTGATTCTGGTGAACTTTGGTAGACCATTCCCTGCATCGCCAAGAACACACGGCTATATCTACCTCCTACGGTAGGAGGCCTTAAGAAAGGAGTTGTCGTTCTGCCCAAGACTATTGGTTGGGTATTGAACCGCAATAGGGCCATGTTGGAACATGCTGGCACATGCCAAGCACATCCGCTCCTTTAATTTCAGACTTCACCCAGAGCCTCGAAGGAAGTTCAGACCTGCTGAACTCAGACACAGCTCGGGCTGTCCAACACAACACAAGGCACACTTCCGCTTCCATCAGGATTATCCCCCTGCCATGATTCTCTTGATCGACCTCGAAATGGCGACCTCAGCGGCTCAGAAACTCAAAGAGGCTATGATTTGCAACGACGCCGGGTCTGTTCGTAACACAACTGCGCTCCTGGGAAATTGCAACACTCTGTGGCGAGCTCCCTCGGGCAAAAGTTTCAACCTTGCAAGCCCTCGAACTTTGCAATTCAGCTAATCACCAAATTCACGCACCAACATGGCCATCGCGGAGGTTGAGCATCAGAATCTACCGACACCCACAGGTAGAAGACGCCACCTTCACCGACATCCGGACTTGGCAAAACCTAACGCGTCTGGCGTCAAACGATCGCTGACCAACTGTTCCAGGCGTGGCTTGGACAAGGCTACGGGATAAGGCGCGACCATGCTTTACCTGGGTGATTGAGAGAGATTACGCCAATCTTCCTCTTGATGCATATGAGAAACTCTATCTTGAACGCCCCGATGGCTGGAGATACAAAAGCCTCCTCTGGTCTCTGGCCAGAGAGAAGCAGCAGCAAAGCTCATGTCACTCTCTTAAAAGGTTCGCTTCATTCGTGTCCAGTCACTCGTTTCAACTCGCTCAAGTCACTCGCTTTTCGTATCGTCCTTCTACCGGCTTTGCTCTGTCCAACTTCGCATCTCATCGACCTTCGCCAACCTCAATCACCATGAAGTTCTCCAGCATTTTTGCGCCTCTCGCTCTGGCCTCGGCCGTCACCGCTGCTCCCGGCTGGAAAGACTGGCACGGTGCGGGTCCGAAATGCCCTGAGAGCACTTGCCTGTCTCAAGCCGACGCCGATGATATTGTTGCCAAGTTCGTCAGCATTCTTGATCATCCGGACGTTGCTGCTTCGAATGCCACTGCTCAAGCCTTGTTGGGGGACAATTTCTTCGAGAAATCCGACTCCATCAATATGCTTGCTGGCCACCCGGTATGGATGCACCATTACCATTAGCCCTGATTCTCTGCCGTTACTAATGCAATGTAGATTGGCGCCACCACATTCTCTGGCAAGGCCCAGTACATTCAAGGTGTTCTCCTCGCTCCATCCATCACCAACATCACGACGTACAAGACTATGGTCGCTGGCTGCACCAACGTCCTATGGTACTGGAACATGGCGGGCATTGGAAGCAAGAAGATCCCAGTCAATGGATTCAACCTCTTCGAGATCACCCCTGAGAAGCAGATTGCCGACATGTTCGTTGAATTCAACAACATTGGATGGGGCATCGACACTGGCTTCACAGTCACCAGCCGCAATGGCACGAAGCTTCCTTTGGCATAAAGCACTTGTGGCGGAGCGGCGCCGGGTATGATGCCAAATTCTCTTCTTGATGAGGATTACGGCTGCATTTTCGTCATGATACCAATGTTCTATTCTTCTTCTGGATGCTATTGGCTTGCCGCCTCTGCGGCAGCTAGGGACCTGCAATGGATCACAGGGACTTGGATTATGCAGAAGTAGAAGTTCATTTTGTCGCACAACACATGCCTTTGTCCCGGACAAGCTACATCAATCTCTATCTTTGTGCCGCCCAATCGAAACCCGTGTGATTGCTTATGAACTGCCTCGTAACAGTACAGCACACCATGCTCGAAACAATTGAAAGCTGGAAGCTGACTGGGGGATACTGGAAACAACAGCATGAGGCCAGAATTTGCGTGTCCGACTTGTGGAACCATATGTAGATTACAACCTGCGTCACTGTCTTAAGTAGAATTCGATTCACCTCCCCCGATTTCCATGATTTGGAACGCTTAAATCGCACCCGTAGCCTATGCATGCAAGAACCCGTGTTCAAACTACCTCGTACAGTACCAGCATTTGGGGGACCTCCAAGGTCGCTACAATCTGGTTCAAGTCCCCCGACCGGATGAGCACAAAGAGACGTTGGACATCTAGAAAGATGTCTTCAGATGATACCCCTTTCGGTCAGCCTCGTGCATATTACGGGGTCTTACGGGTTGACCTCGATAATGATCTGCCCTTCGCCTCCCAGGTCCTTCTCGACCTTTGTTCCAAACCGATGACACAATTTTCTGAATATATGCTCAACCCATTCATGATCCGGATCGTCTTTCTGCAGCAACTGTGCGTGGAATCGCTCGATTCTGTTTGGAAAGACCTCCAGCCTCCTTACCTCGAGCTCGCTTTTTCCCTCCTTCTCTGTCTTCTCTCCAAGAGAGACCCTCCACGCCGCACTCAAGTCATTCCTGAATTTGGGGTCGACAGCATAATCATCCACGAAGTCTCCACACCCGTAGACCACCAACTTCCCTTTGTATATCTCCACGCCTTGAACATGGTGGCTGCTGTGCCCGTGGATTATGTCCACGCCGCACTCATCGATCATCCAATGCGCCAAGTCGACGATCTCCCTGGCGGGATGCCAGCGGTAGTTTGGGCCCCAGTGCATCGACACGACTTTCAACCCCAACTTTCTCTGTCCCTCGCGGTGATCCTCCGCCAGGAGCTGCCCTTTAATCATCTCTCTCCCTTTTCCCGAGTAGTCGATGAGGTTGAAGGTGTCCACGGCCTTCCACTCGCTGGGGTGATCCGCGAAACTCCAGCATTTGATATCCCACCCGTCTTCACCCCCAAGCCGCAATGTGGCGGGCCTGCCAGCCTCCTCCTTTGTTCTACCCGCCCCTGCAAACTCGACGCCATTCTCGTCCAACGTCTTGACTGTTTCTTGCAGTCCTTCGATGTCCCAGTCTAGCGTATGGTTGTTCGCCAAACTCACGCAGCCCCTTTTCATTCCACCGCCCATGCCGACGTCTGTCAAACATTGGACGTTCCCCGGATGAGTGCGGTAATTGAACACCTTGCTCGGCCACTTCTTCTCGCTTGTCGTCACGGCCGTTTCAAGGTTTGCAAGCACAAGATCAGACTTTCGGATCAAGTCGGTACAATTTCCCCAAGGCGACAGATAGTCGTATGACTTGAGTTGGGGATAACGTGGGAGAATGTGCTTGTCAACTGTCCATGCGGCCGATTCGGGGTCGGAATGTGATGACTGTCGAGCTATACTGGTGGGCAGTAGGGCGTCGATGAGTCGGCCAATCATTACATCACCGAGGAGAAGGAGAGTATATGTTTTGGGTGTAGTTGGCATTATGAAAGGAGAGGCTTTCAAAGTTCAACTATGTGATGCGACCGCGGCGTTTAGACCCTGATAGTCAGTATAAAGGTTCTCAAAAGAGATGCCTATGGGGGAAAAAAGGCTCCCCGTAGATCATGGAGGGTTTTTTTTTCTTGCATCGGGGATCGATGCTACATAGTTTAGTCGATGGTGAGGAAATGCGAGGGTATCGCAGTTGATGAAATATCTTAGAGGGGAGTATTTGTAGAGACATAGAGTGTAGCAATGGTGTGAGAATGGTATGACGCAACTGCATGGCTTTGGGCCTTTGGCGACCTTAAGCAAGATATTATTCGGTAAACCGTCTCCAACATCAGGTCGTGACTGCCAGATACACCAAATGCCGCCCCGTATGATAGACACAAGCGGAGTGCTGAGGGGGAGAGTATAGACGCCGCATGTGCGATATCTAGGGCAGATCACCTTTGTCAATGTAGTTAATCCTTCGGCAGAATTCCTCTGACGGACTGGCTGTTATCTACCACTTGGCGGGACCAGGCCTGGCTATACCTCCAATCCCTCCAATTTCCAAACAATGCTGGTCCTGAAAGAGCGTGATGTGCACTCTTTGCTTTCCAACATCTCCGTCTCGGAATGCCATCGTCTGCTTACCAGCTTGCATGATATTCTCCGCACATACTCCTCGACGAAGAATGCCCCGCAATCCGAGCAAATGATCCATCAACCGGAGAGGGAGTCAATCATTACACGAGTCGGCAACACCTCGTTGTTCATGCCGTCTTCCACCACAACCTCCACGGGCATTAAGACCGTCACCATTAGTCCCAAGGGACTGAAAGGATGCATCAACATCTTCGCGCCGGACGGGGAATTGTTAGGTGTCTTGAATGCCGAAGAAGTCACTGCATTCCGGACCTCGCTAGCTGTCATGATCCCTTACGTTCGATGGCCGAATACCAAGAGTAACCTCGTGGTCTTTGGAGCCGGTCGACAAGCAGAATGGCACGTGAAACTTGCCCTTTTACTCAGCGACGTGAAGCATGTCACCGTCGTCAACAGGAGCAGTCCCCGGAGGATGGAGAGGCTCTTCACAGATCTACAGCAAAAGAATGCCGACGTTGTCTGCCGGGTGCTTCTGAAGACGGCTGAGAATTTTGATTCGCAGCTACGAGAATATCTTATGGCTTCGGATATCATCTTCTGCTGCACCCCGTCTGTAACACCGCTTTTCCCATTCAGCTATCTTGACAAGAAGCCTCGGTTCATTTCCCTGATAGGATCCTACAAGCCGTCAATGCAGGAGATTGATTCCGAAACTCTCTTGTCCGCTGAACGCATCTATGTGGATACCAGGGAAGGATGCCTCATCGAAGCGGGAGAACTAATCAAGGCTAATATCAAGGGAGATGAGCTGATTGAGATTGGGGAATTACAGGACAACGAGAGCCTAGAGACTGGAGGGAGCCTCATCTTTAAGTGCGTAGGCATGGGCATCATGGACTTAGTCATGGCAGGCAATCTGCTTGAGATGGCTCGAGAGAAAGGTGTGGGGTTGACTGTCGACGACTTCTGATTCTGAAGCGAGCAGCTTTTGTCCGACATGCTGTCGGCACCAAGTCGAAGGGCTCCTGTCATAGGCCCATAGCGGTTGACGGGTCTGTAGTTTCAAACACCATCACCGAAAGTGTAATCGTTCGCCCATCGGGTGTCCCATGGACGAGACTGATTGACGAATCGAAGATCCGTACCTAATCGGATTCTGTTCTCAGGGTCGTGATTGATTGTCGAGGCGTGAATCTGCATCCAAGGTCAGTAACGATAACTACGGAAAGGATGTCATCCTTACAGCATATGCGTTATGAAGCACCACATCACCAGCTTCGTATTCTGTCAACAGCCAGCGGCGATTCCATTGCTTCCCAAATTCCGCAGGGCCGTCCGCAAGCAACCCTCCGCTCATCATATTCTGGTTGAACGCGCTTTTGGCCTCGTCGTCCGTCAATCCTGAGGCCTTCGCTTTTGTGGTGAAGTCATGCTCCATCTCTGCACCCAAGGTGTGGCCTTTATCGAGGTAGATCAATCCACCGCCCTGTCTTGAAATATCTCCCATGGGTACCCAAGCAGTGACTGCGGTGTCCTCACCATGTCTTAGAAAAATCTGGTCATAATGTACTCCGATGGCCTTGTTTCCTGGAGTGTTATTCCGCAAGAGCGTCCTTCTGATTCCCAATGTATCATCACCCCAGCCCGTTAGTTTTGCGATGTAGTTCCGCAAAGCTGGGTGTTTGCAGAAGTCTTCCTTGTACCAGTCCTCGGTGTGCGCTTTCAGAGCCAGTTCCACAAACAACGTAGCCACTTCGGGGTGCGGTCCTGTTGGCCGGCCGTTCGCGTCTGCGAAACCAGCTCCAATGCCAGGAAAATCAAGCTTGTCCTTGGTTTCATCAAAGATGCCATCGACGGGCTTAGTGCCTGGTTTGAGTACACCGCTGGGGGACAGAAGCTTGAAATATTCCTCTCTCGCTTTGAGAACATCCTCTCTCGGCAAAAGGCCTTTTATGAAAAGGTATCCGTCCTCTTCATACCGCTTGCGAGCCTCCTCGATTGGAATGGCTAGCGTTGTCGGCCGCAAATCGGCGTACTGATCGGGAGACAAGGCCCCATCATTGACGAAGAACTGTTCTTCACATGGCAGTTGAGGTTCAGGGGATTCTGCATGAGGCATCTTGACAAACCCAGAGGGACTGCCTCAAAAGCCAAGGGGGGTGATGCGAACTACGAGTAGATTCTGGTGGAACGTTGGCACTGGCAAGTTGAGATATAAATCTCGAAGTCGAGATATACTTGTGATTGATTGATGTCCATGGCAAATGCACGCAGCTCCGTGGCCACTCCATAACTCACCGTGCACGTCTTCCTACGACCTGCAGGATCGACACCGGAAAACTCCCAATCTGGCCGAAGGAGAGGAAGTCGCTGTTCAAGAGGGGAAATCTCGGCCCGGGACCTCTCAAAGCGATGGCGGCAAGACAGAATAGGCCAAGATTCCCGAAGGCGGGCTCCGCATAAAACCGGAATAGGCAAAGAACCCCGGAGGCCAATTCCCCGCAGAACTCCTTTTACGGGAAATCAAGCTCTCGCTCTCTCTCCGGGCTTCTCCCTCGTCCTCATTCTTGCCTTCAAGCGGCATGTCCTGTGATTTCTGCCGCAAGAAACATACCAGATGTGCAACTCACCCCCTGTTTGCGGTTCTGCAGGATTCAGACGTCATGCTGACTTGGTTCAGGCGACGACCAGCATCCACGATGTGGACACTGTGTAAAAGCTGATCAGCAGTGCATCCGCAACCCAAGGCGATCTCGATACACTCCCAGACCTCGAAGTTTTGGTCTACAGCAGATTTGGGTGCCCGTTCCGCCGAAAGGTAGACGATGAAGCCCCGTAGCGATTCAATTGATAGTAATTTTTGCAGTTGACTTCGTGGATGAGACCCCTTTGCTGCAACATGGCAAGGCCTCTGACAATCGCTCAAGTGCTGTTCAGCTGGAATCTCCCCATCAGGCGCAGCTTTGCCAGCCGTCGAATGACGGCCCATTGAATATCACATCACCGTCGCTGGCTGAACAAACATTCTCCAACGAACATATCGAGCTATCACAGCGTCATGCACCGAGGACGCCCCAGGACGACTCGCCCTTTCCCACCAAAGAGTCTGCCGAATTGATGAGATACTTCATCGACAATTGTGCTTGCTTCTTCGATTTCAGTGACGCTGACAGACATTTCGCGTACCATGTTCCGCTTCGAGCTCGCCGAAATGCGACCTTGGCGAATGCTATGCTGGCGCTGGCTGCTCGACATCGGAGTCGGACAGGCGATTTTGAACCTTTCGCTGCCGACAGATACTACAACGCCTGCCTTCAAACAATGATTCCTAAGCTTGGAGATAGCACCGCGATCCGGGACGATGAGCTGCTCGCGGCCATAGTCATTCTACGATTGCTGGAAGAGATGGATGGTCAGTGCTCCAAGATGCCATTCTACTCCCTCGCTGACACTAATTAGTGCTGATAGTGGGATTGGATCCTCAAAAACACCTCTTCGGAACCCAAGCAATCATCGCAGCATCCCAAGCTCACTCTCAATCGCCGATGACAGCTCTGAGAAAGGCGTGTTACTGGGCAGCCTTTCGCCAGGAAATATTCATGTCCCTGTCTACGCAGAGACCATTTAAACTCATTTTGCCTGAGATGAAGCCGCCTCAAAGCCCGTCTGATGACTGGTCATGGGCGCTCCGAGCGACATATCAATGTGGCAAAGTGCAAGCGTTCGTCTTTGATGAGGAATTTGCCACCGTATCAAGATATCTTCAATTGGTGGAAGAGATCGAGCAATGGCAAAGAGAGTGCCCGATGTCCTTTGATCCTGTCTATCAGGAAACCAGTAGGCTGGGGGACTCTTTTCCAGACATTCGACTCCAGTCGGATTGCCATGGTGAGTGCCATTGCAGGCTACAATGAATGAAAACAAATCTGATGACAACGTACAGTGATGGGTTGGCAATACATAATCATGGCACATTTGCTGCTAAACGCCCATCGACCGTTGCCGCGAGTTGGTCCATCTCATAAACAAGAAATGATGGACATGGAAAAGGTAGTCAAGAAAGACGTCAAGACATTATGCGGAATAGCCCGATCAAATCCCCAAACTCCTCCGGCAAGTCTAGTGGCTTGCATGGGTATTGCACTATGCAAGTTCGCTCCCTATGGATATTGCGTCCTAGACCGCTGACATCTTCAAGTTGGAGATCGCTTCGATTCCGAGTCTGAGCAGGCGCTCCTCAGAGATCTCCTCCTTCAGACCGAGCTCTCCACAGGGTGGCCGACCTGCATGGCGCGGGTGCGGCTCGAACAGACCTGGAATTGGACGCGGGACACCCCGCACTATCCAAATTGACATGTTTGGTCTTTCAAACTCGACGGAGACAAGAGTTTGGGCTCTGGGGCATTGCCGGAATGTGCGCGAAGGCACATCATTTACCTCGGACGCTAACTATTTTGAAATCGTTTGCGGTTAGCCACTCCGATGATCCACATCGACAAGTCCGGAAGCGAGCACAGCAGGGCTGGACGACTCCACTGTGAGGTACCACGAGGATTCTTGCTCATAAAACCTCTTTGCTTGCCCGTCTTCACCTTGAAACCTGTTCAAGGCTGCAGTCTCCTTAACTCGTTCCATCTTTGGTGCATCCCGCAAGATGTTCTCAATCAAACAAACCGGAGTCATTGAGCGTCCTCTGGACTACGACACCGCCAATCCTCGTCCAGCAAACCTCCCATATGTCTACCTCGTGACTGCTTTTGTGTCTTTAGGAGCCCTGCTCTTCGGTTACGACCAAGGAGTCATGGGCATTATCGTGGCCGATGAACGCTGGATTCGTCTCATGAAGCCCGCCAATTCCTGGGTCACTGGTGCTGTGGTTTCTTTGTACGACGTCGGCTGCTTCATGGGTGCTATGAGCATCGGATATCTCGCAGATCGTTGTGGCCGCGAGCGAACCTTGTCCATCGCCAGCATTGTATTTAGCGTTGGAGCCGTCATTCAGGCTGCGTCTTACGACGTTCCGACCATTACCGTCGGGCGTGTCATTCTTGGCTACGGAGTGGGAGCTTGCGCGGCCGGAGTCCCGCTATATGTTTCAGAGATTGCTCCGGCAGGCTTGCGTGGCCGAATCATCGGTATCGAGCAGATGATCTTGTGTCTAGGGGAGCTCATAGCGTTCTGGCTGGACTATGGCTTTGCATATTTGGACACTCCCAACTGGTGGCGTATTCCCTTGGCCATCCAAATTGTCCCTGCAGTTATCCTTGCTGTCGGATGCTGGTTCTGGGTCCCTCCTAGTCCACGTTGGCTTGTACAACAAGATCGACACGCTTGCGCTCGTGAGGTGCTGGCGAGGCTGCATGGAGACCAAGCCGCGGAAGTTGAAATGCAGGAGATTGCAGAAAGGGTAGCCTTTGAAAAGACTGTTGCAGTCACCACTTGGAAAGATATGTTTTCGTGGCCCATCTTGAGGGTAACGCTGATTGGAACCGGTGTGCAGTTCTTCCAGCAGATAACGGGCACAAATTCCATTGTGAGATTATGGCCCTTCCTAAAACACATGTCAAGAAGAGAAGAATTGACAGTTTGGACCTTGCAGTTATATTATACACCGAGCTTGTATGAGCGTGGCGGGATAAGCTCTGCTCACACTCGCAACTTGGCGACAGGGGGTGTTGGAATTGTCCTGTTTGTCTTCGCTTGGATCCCCATCTTTGTCTTCGACAGACTCGGACGGAAGACCTGGCTTCAGATTGGTGTGATTGGGATGATGGGCGCCATGATCGGGATTACAGGTAATGTCCTCAAAAGGCTTCCAGGACCGGCAAACCCTGACGAAAAGCAGTCCTCCAGTGGCACGCTGAGAGATATCCGGGTGCGAGCGGCAATTATGCCATTGTCGTGTTCCCGTACTTGTTTTATGTCTTTTTCAACATCAGCTGGGGAGTCGGCAGTTGGACATATGCGAGCGAGATATGGCCTGTGGCTTTGCGGGCCAAAGGGAACGCACTGAGCACTATGAGTTTGTGGGCAGGGTGTTATATTGTTGCCCAAGCGAGTCCTCCAATTGGTGACGCCATCGGCTGGGGCTTGTATATCATTTACTCTGGAATCTGTGTGTTCGCCTTTCTGTTTGTCCGGTACGCCATGGTCGAAACGCGAGGGCGTACCTTGGAGGAAATGAGCCGCCTTTTTGGGATTGAAGACAAGTTCGTGGTTAGGAGGGGCATCGATCCAGTGACAGCATTCGAAGCGAAGAACATGGGCATCGTGCATCAGCAGGTGGAGGAAGTCAGCAAATAAACGACGCAGTTGTATGGGGCTGAGTCCCCAGGAGCAGTGACGGCATTCCTTGAGGGCGAGTCTCTGCAAGGCTGCGAGGCTGCGAGGCTGAAGGAACTGTCAATCCTGCGTCCCGCGTACAAGCACCAGCAAGATGTGGGGCTGATCACAAGAAGCAAAGACGCTTTGCCCTACAAAGGGAATTTTGGCCGAAGCTCGGGAATTCCAGTTCATCATAAACATTCTGTTTGCAGGGCATCGAGAAGACAGAAAACCCGTCAATGGCCATAAAGAACCATGACTTGCTTCTTTCTTCTTCTTCAATTCGAACTACCCATTGCTGGCCCACGGTGGTTGCTTCTCAAAAATCAGCATGACATTCCTCCTCGGTCTGGCTCGTCGAACACCAGGCCTTATCCTCACCAACGGCGTCCGGGCTTTCTCAACCTCAATGCCACTCCTTGCACAGCCTGTATCTGTCCATGCCACCTTGGCAGAGAGAGATCAGGGCAAACTTAACGAACAAAACTTGGAGAGGGCAGTCCGGCAAGTCCGCCATGACGGCCTTGTGATCATCCAGAACGCCATTGACACAGAACTTCTCAACAAGTTGAACAAGAAAATGGTGAAGGATGCATTGGAGTTGCGGTCGAGAGGGGAGAACAGTCCGTTCAACTATAACCAAGGAAACCTGCAGCAGGATGCGCCTCCTGTGAGAGAATACTTCCGGCCAGAAATATTTCTGAGTGAGTATTGAATACAATCTTCACTGGTTTCGCGTCAATAACCAAGTGACATTAAAAGATACTATCGCAACCCAGATAACATCAGCAGTGCTCGGCCCCCGTCCTAAATTGACCTTTTGCTCTGGCAATTCAGCGATGCCTCCGAGGCCGGGTTCTCTTCCAGAGAGACAGCCGGTGCATTCGGATGCGGACTTTGCACACCCCGACCATCCCTTTGCGTTGGTTGTCAACGTCCCACTGATTGATATGAATCCAGCGAATGGTTCGACTGAAATCTGGCTAGGAACACACAATGGTTTCGGAATTGAGGCACAGGAAGGAGCGCACGGCGAGCGAGCCTCGGGAAGAATTCGTCCGTCGTTACTGGAAGAAAGGTCGAGAACGAATCCACCCGTTCAGCCCTACGTCCCCAGGGGCAGCATCATCATCCGTGATCTTAGGCTTTGGCACGCTGGTATGCCAAACGCGACTCCAGACGTCAGAATCATGCTGGCGATGAGTATGCAGCGTCCTTTCCCATTTAAGCACTTGCACTGATCAGTAACAGTCCACTTCGCCCCTTGGTATCGTAATCAAATGAGGCTGGAGCTTGCCGAAGAGATAAAGCCGCTGGTGGAGGGCGCACGAGATCTCGACATCCGGGCAACCTTCGTAAGCGAAAGTGAGGCGTTGAAAAGATACCTCAATCGAGGTTTTGGAAACAGCTATGACTTTGGCCAAAGTCCATAGACATGGAGTGGCGTGGCTGTTCTCGGGTATCCATAGCTTGTATACAACCTTTGCAAAACCCGCGTTACGATGTGTGTGTCGGCCCACCTTTAAAACGAATGTCACCCGCTGATCGAACGACAAAGGAGCTGCCAAACCACGGTAAATGTGTCGTTATCCGGAAGAGATCTGGTCAGGGAGCGTCTTTTGGAGATTGCGCGATGGCTTCCGTGTTCCGGCCGGAAAGTGCCCCATGATGTGTTTAAGTGATGTCTGGGGGGAGGCTAGTGGGCATATGAACCTAAGTAAGGTCCCAATACTTGACCCAAGTCATTCCTCCAGGGGAAACTTAATAGGTAGCTGGTGTCCCCCGCAAAAAGGATGTTGCGCCTCAGTGCCCCTCTTCCTGCAAACCAATCTCCTCCCTTGCACATACTTAGGCAGTTACCTCTATCATTGAACAGCAACGATGATTGCGCCACACATTTCCTCGACCACCCGTCAATGAAACACGAAACATGGCCAAAGCGGCGAGCAAAAACTGTAAGTGGAACCATCTTAGTCCCGCTTGCCTGGGAGCTTGAGCCTGATTTGGTACAATAGCATGGTGAGGCCCAACACTCGTCGACGCGGGTGTCGAATACTCATGGACCTGCTCTAGTAGAACGTGTCGACTAAGGAAGTTGAAATGTGAGAGGGACCTGCACTGACGGTTAGTATGTATCTGACTGTGATACAAGGCGACGAAAAGCTGCCGACATGTCACCGCTGCGAAAGAAGCGGCCGCTGGTGTGACCGGACAGCCCCATTGAAGATCCATGCCCAGAAGAATGGTGGCAGGAGGGCGATCAACGGAGAGGTCACGGACGGCATGGGGCAAGCTTCTGCTGAGCGATTTGGCGAACCTCGTGCACGACTTCAGGACGAGGAGATTGCCCACTACTTTGGACACTACCTCAAGACGCTAGCTGCGTGGTATGACCTCAACGACCTTGGGCAAGCCTTTAGAGGAATTGTAGGGAGCAGAGCTCAGCAGAGCTCCTTACTTCTCAGTGCCGTCATTGCATTTGCAGCCATGCACAAAAGTCGAACGTGTCATGCTGTGCCCAAGTTGTTGGCAGAAAGACATCATGCGCACTGCTTGCGGCTCTTGATCGGAATCACTGAGTCCGCCCCAGCGATAAAAGACGGGACAGCTTTGGCCGCGACGTGTTTGCTGCGGTCGTATGAAATTCTAGCAGGTGAGAGGAGGAGAATGGAGGGTCGAGACGAATGCTTGCTGATCTACATCAGAGGAGGAAGATCCGAATCGCCATCTTTTCGGGGCATTCTCACTCATACCGCCCCTGTCTTGTGTCCTTCCGGAGGAACCACTTCTCAGAGCTGGTGTATGGAATTACCTCCGTGAAGACATCACATTCTCACTCATCAATCGGTGTCCTTTAAAGATCGAAGTCGGAGCGTTAGACATCGTGCTTCGTCGCGATGATGACTATGCAAACCAAATCACGCTCCTGTTGGCCCGTGTCATAAATGCCGCCTTTGCAGATGGCTCGAACCTTCTCGTCGAGTTGCAATCAGCCGTCAGTGATTGGAATTTGTCTGTACCGTTCCAGCCTTACCATGAGTCCCATGGCGGCGTATTTCCGAAGATCCAGATGGTCGAGGATTGTCATGGTGAGTTAGTCAATGCTATTTTGGTCCAAACCTAACCAATATAGTCGCTGCAATGCAATATTGGCATGTCGCCCAGATCCTGCTAGGTCTGAACTCTGGAAACACAGTGAACTTTGAAGCGCACGCCCGGAGCATATGTGGAATGGCTTTCTCTGCCTACAGTGACCCTGTCATTGTAAACTCATATGGCCCAATCTGCTACAGTGAGTCAATTGGGCCCTGGGAGAACGGAGCTGATTTGTGAAATTGCAGGCGCACAATGGCTGTCGAGAGACGACTCTAGACGGGAATTGGTCGATCGACTGCTAGACAGTCAGAAAAGAACTGGGTGGCCTGTTGAAAACATTATCAAGAAGCTGAAGCTATGTTGGGCTGGAAAAGCAAAGAAATGACTCGACCAATTTGTAGTCTGGACAAGGAACTCCGTCGTTCTCTCTATTCCACGAACATCCCCTCGGCCATAAATAGTTCCTCGTCAGCAATAACCCCATCAAAGTCGTCCATGCCATCGACATGACCATTGGTGCCATTGTGCCTTGGACTTGCGGCATGCACCATCAAGTTGCAACTTCTTTCCTACGTCATTTGCGACATCCTCAGTAACCGGTGATAACCCAAAGTCTTCCTTGGGTGTGGGACGGTTTGCTGGGAGCAGAGAAAACGGCCATAGACCCAGACCGCCTATTACCCCAAGTTGTACTGTCTGCGTTTTGCAATGAAAGTGTTTCAGACCCAGCTCTCAAAGCATTCGATGAAGCTACAATGAGACCATGTTCTCACTGCATGCCAGCCTTGGTTCTCCCATACAGCGCTGCTGATCCGCCATTTACCATGGCACCTCCACGCTTTCAAATGGCAGTGTCAATAACCGAAATTCCCGAATCGATCGTGACTGGTGTTGGCGACGGCAGCAAAGCACGATTTTCGCTTCTACTACTGCTATCGATCACCGATACTGCTGCTTGTTCGGTAGTTTCGCCGCTTCGTATATGAGTAGCTACCGGCTCCGACGACTTTTGCTCGATCGAGCTCGGGGTTTGGATGTGATTGTCAATCGGCATCCGCATCACTTCCGTAAGGATCACAATAATCTACTCCAGCACCTCCAGGTCTTCACGGGGGTCCGGTTCCGGCATGACTGGAAAATAACGTTCATTCTCATCGGTTTCTTCCCTGGGCTCCTCTATTGCCAGCAATTTCTCTTTCATCAATCTCTCTGCCGCTGCCAGAGAGTTTTCGCCATCGTTGTCCGCTGCGAAGGAGTCAGCTCCAGCTTCTAATAGAAACAGTACCATCGCAGGCTGCACAGATGTCACGGCTTCGTGTAGTGGCGTCTTCCCTTGCTCGTCTATAATGTCTATTCGAGCTCCACACTCTCGCAATTGCCGGACAGCGCTGAAGTTTCTGACTTCCATCGCGGAAAAAAGAGGGATCCTTTTCTTGTGGTCGCTTGCCTCAATGTCTGCCCCTGCATCCAAGAGCAGGCTTGCAGTCTCCAGTCCACACATCGCCGCATGTATCCGGAGATTAATCTCAAGTATAGACTTTCCTTGGGACATCTGACCCAGCATGGATTTTAATTCATCCATGGGATTAGGATCCGGAGATTGTATATACACGCGACTCGCTTTGTGGAGAGCAGTTTGTCTACAGAAATTGCAAGCATTGACATCACTGCCAGCCTCTAACAGTGCTCTCACAACAACTGCATTTCCGAGTTCAGCTGCCATATGAATCCTTCGCCTCTATATCTGCGTGATTTGCCACTAAAACTGCCACTATTTCTTTTTGGCCGTCATAGACAGCTGTGTGCAAGAGTGTGTTCTGATAGCAATCTCGGGCATTGACGTCTTGCCCAAGATCTATTAAAAGCTGCAAAGTGGCTGTGTTTCCTGCATCAACAGCAGCCCATAGACCCAAAGTAAGACAATCCGAATTCTTCTTGCGATCTTCTTCAGAATGTGACTCTGGTAGAAGCTCCTTGGCCAGACTGGAGAGACCAAGAGCTGTTGCTGCGACGAAGTCTGCACCACGGCGGGTTCCAGTAAATCGCCTTTTAATAACTCTAGCGTGGAAGGATACAAAAAATTTTCTTCGCAGTAACATCTAAGCCAGAGGTATCCAAGAGAACTGGAACTGTTGAAGAACGCACTGAAGAGTTTGGAACCCTTTGTCCCGAAAGTTCGTGATCTTCGTGCATGATAAAGCCAATTGAAGGTCGCATACCTTTCAAAAAGGTATTTGGCAGGCTTATCAGGAACTGGCTCGTATATGTCATTTTCGTTGTCTGTGGCAGGGATATCTTCTCCTTCGGATTCATGAGGAACCGACTCATAAATGTTACCTTCGTCATCTGTGTCATCTGTGGTAGGGACACCTCGGTCTCCGATTTCGATAAATAATTCGTCGTCAAAATTATCCCCGTTCATGACTTCAATACACCTTTTGGTAATGTTGCAGTTTCCTTCATCTGCATCGATTCGGAATGGCCTCAAGCCGTCTTCGGACCCAAGATCATTCCGCAAGAGGTAGTCTTTCAGGGAGAGATGCACGAGCGCAACAAAGCCCTTGTTGATCAAAAGGAGGCCTTGGGACAACTTAACCTTGGCTTCTGTCACCACCTCCAGCTCCAAATTCGGGGTTGGGCCCAGCTCGAGAGCAAAAGCCAGCTGAGCAAGCGACAGAGGTGTTCGGGCAAATGCGACCCGAATGAGCATGGTTCCAATAAGAGCTAAGTTCTCCTTGCTAATTGAGAACAGTATACGACGGTAGAGGGCGTCAAGTCCGGGCAGTAGATCATTGAGGGCTGCTTCAGTGGCGGAAAGGTCTACCTCGCGCAGGAAGCCGACAGCAAGGCCTACCCAGAGGAATGTGTCCTGTGCGCGGCGTTGTAAAGTTTTAAAGACATGTGTTTTCAATTGCTCCGGGTAGTGCTTGATTCGAGACAACTTGTCAACTTCAGTCCTGATCAATGTTTTAACATCGTTCTCAATTTGTTTGCTGAAATTCAAATCCATGCCGGACTCCGAATATAGCTGGATCTTGGGATAAGCCGACAAGGAGGCATTGATGCGCGGCGGAAAGTCTCTGCTGAAAACCATTAGCTTTAGCTTTGGAGGCGCGGTGTCCTCAAGCCGCTCCAGTTTCGAAAGCAGACACTTCAAAGACTCTGACTCCAGTTCATCGATCCCATCTAGTACACAGTAGACGGTCGTATTGGTTTCATTTATCATCGTTTGAAAGATTTCCCACAAGCTCTCGAAAGATTTCGGCTCAAATAGGCTCGAACCGTGAATCCGCCACTCAGGTAGGATACATCGAATCAGCTCTGGCTTCTGGCCGAGCAACTGGTACATCATCCCTCGGAGAAGCGCAGAAACGCTCTTTTGATTCTCTTCTTTGTCGTCACAAAAGAAGCAGGTCAACAACTGACCTTGTGACTGTGCAACTACCCCGAGATGTTCAGTGGCAAAGATTGACAGTGTGGTCTTCCCTTATCCAGCTCGCCCGCATACCCAAAGGAGTCGGGACTGAGAGCTCGGATCTTGCCATTGCTGGTATTGAGAGGTTTGTATGATCCATGTGCCGGTTGGGGCCGTTTTGCGACTTCCTCTTGCTGGTAGGCCGGATCTGCTTTGATAGTTGACATTACACCGTTCAAGTTTTCCAGAGAGCTGATGAGCTCACGGACTTTCTTAGGAGCACCTTTGACTTGCGCGAAAAGTTGGAGGGCATCATTAAGCTGCACCACAAGTGTAGTTACACTTGTTACAGTGCCCAGAACTGCCGCCATCGTGAGTTGCTGACGAGCGGAAACACGGCAGAAATCAAGGTCAGAGAGATGGTTCGCACTCCAGGAACAGCTTGTTGTCCCGAAAAGAGGAGAACGAACATCTAGCGGAGGAAAAGAGGTGGCTGGGATCATTCCCTGATTGAATCTACCTTGCCTACTGGAACTAGTTGCAGGAAGCCTCTGAGTGCTGTGACTGCAGCCATCCCACCAGCCTAGTCTCTCGTGCAGCGCTACAGTTATAGCGATGCAGGCCCCTGGCTCTTCGTACAAGTGATATCTGACCGCGGCTGCAGCAGCCACTCAATTTGGTGCATGCATCGGTGTGGTTGTCGAGAGCACGGCGATTAACGGCAAGCCAGAGTCACAACAAACCGTCATGTCTTGTTCTCTTCAAAGGGAACAATCCGTAAGATTTTGGTTTAGTGTTGAGCCACAGCTAGGGCACATTGAGATAGGTTTCATTGCTCCATGTATACTTGATCTCTCGGTTACTGCTCGAGATAATAGCTGATGCTATAGTTGAGCCACGCACATTGGGGCAAATCAACGAAGACACCGCTCGCCGCGGGGTAGTCTAGGTGCTTAATGGGCCCTGCGGCATTCGACACTTTCTCCCAAGGTCCCGATGCTAGGATGCCTTGTAAGGTCTTGGTATATCCTCTCGCTTGAAGGTAAGGAATTGGCGGATTAGGCTGGCCGCTTCTCACAAATTCTGCAAAGTATCCGCTGACCAATTGTACGGAATAAAGGTCATTGGCATCCCTCAGGGGAACGTAGAAGTTGCCAAACGCCCAGTCCATATCGGCGCCATGGAGTTTGAAGTAGGGCAAGTTTGGATTGCCGTGAGGATAACCGGGCGTGACCGGCGCGCCGGGGACATTCTCCGGGTTGTATCCATTGATTGTTCGTTCGAACTGGTAATAGTAGGCTGCGGGAAACACCCCAGTTTCTGCGCCAGCATATACTGTTGCTTGATCAATGCAGCGGAAAGTGGTGTCGGTTGCGACACGCTGTGATACATTGAAGGAATCAAAGGTCATATTGCCAGTGCTGTAATAGGGGAACAAGCCGGAACGAATGATCGCTTGTGCATAAGGCGCATTGATCCTCAGACCAGTCACCAGCCCCTGTGTTTCGTTGTGCACCGGTGTCGGAGATATTGTAGAAAAGGAGGCGCCATCGTTTGCGGCATTGCCAAACATGATCGGGACATATGCGCTTCCCGCATTCTTCTTGACCACATTAAGTTCAGAGGTATTGACAATGGTACCGTCTTGGACGACATATCTCGCAACCGTCGCTAGATTCACTAGGGCTGTGGCATTGACCTTCTTGAGACACGCGATCTTGCCACTCAATGCTTGCTGGGTACAATTTGACGCGTTAAAGATCTGGGGCCCGGCGATGGTATACGACTCGTTGATGGTGTAGTAAGACGAGTAAGTGGTGCCATAGGTGCCGCCAAGGCCAAGGGTCACTCCGCCGCCCAAGTTGGACATAGCTACTGCGCCCTGGAACAATCCAATGGCAGGGGGACTCCCGAGAAGGGTTCGGACCGAGCCAGCTCCGGCAGATTCACCCATGATGGTAATTTTCGTTGGATCTCCACCAAACTTGGCAATGTTCTGAACAGTCCAATTTAAGGCGACGATCTGATCTCCGATACCGAAGTTACCTTTGATATTAGTGCCGGGGATGGCCAAAAATCCCAGAGTTGATAGCCGATAGTTGATGGTTACGACAACAATATCTTCTCGAGAAGCTAGGTTACCACCATCGCTTAACGGATCGGCCCCAGTGCCGCCAGTGAACCCTCCACCATGGATCCAAACTGGTTCAGTTAGCCTCGCTGGACCATGGGAAAACACTCGACCTATATGGGACTCACACAAGACGGGTCGCAGGCTCTTGGATGACCCAGATTTGGGAATGTAGGGCGTCTGGACGTTGAGGAACAAGCAATCCTCACTCGTGCCGTTGACAGATGGCTGAGAACATTGGGCACCATAAACGGTTGCATTCACTGTTTTGCCAGTCCCAGTGTATAGATGAGAGTAGACCCATCGCTGGGGCTGATCAGCATATCGGATGCCCAGGAAACGAAACGATTTCTGATTCCGATAGCCAACATAAGTGTTGCCTGCTGCCGCCACGATGATTTGATTTGAAGCGCTCGCGGTCGAGTTTGGAGGTTGGCTTGCGTTGCTTGATTGAGTGCAAAGTACAGGCAAAGCAGTGTTGCCCTGTAGCACCGCGGGAAAAGAGAGCTGTGCTTGAGGAGACACTTGCAAGCTGCCGTCGGCAATGTGATACACCTGACTAGGGGACACTCTTCCGGAGTATGCCAAGTATGACAATGCGGACGAGAAGTCACTGCTGTAATTCTGAATGGTAGCTTGAGTCAAAAGTGTCTCGCTCAAAGCCTGACAAGCAGCCGATCCGGCAGATGCTGACATAGGGTCAAGGAGAATAGCCCCGACATGGTTGGCGTCGTCCGAGGCATTTAGATTGTTTTGGTAGACATATGTCAGTGAACTTCCAGTATTGGACACGGCGACGTTGGCCCGGCGAATTATATCCTGGGGATGTCCGAGGGTATGCCCGAGGAGTACAGCCAAAGGCGCCAGGACCCAAAGCAATGAAGCCATGGTCACAGGATGCCGGTTCGATTCAAAAAGGAGCTAGGGGAAGTACAAGATAGAGACACAGTCCAGCACATCTGGGCAGCATGGTCTTCTTACCATTATCATACTTAGTTCAACCACAGCACATTCCATCATCGTCTTAAAAACAGCTTCCGCCAGGCCGGAGGCACAATTCCAACAATCCATCCTATTTCAGGACGGACTGCGGCAGCGAAGAAAAGCTCTTCACAGTGCCATTCCAAGTCAGGAAGGCAGATGTTGTATCGTACAGCTTGTCCAACGAGGCCCAGGTCGAACTGCGGAGGTGGTCGCTTCGATGCCGGTTGAATGCAGACAAGCCACGGCCCTTGACCACTGAATCGTCAGGCCGATTGGTAGGAATGTAATCTAGCATATTACTTGCGGAGGGGCGTCAATCTGTTAAAAGAAGAACAGGCAACGACGACGACAACGTGCAAGGTTGGCAACCAACAGTCAAAGACCCCGAGAATTAGGCTGAATTGAGCTGGCAGCTCATTGGCAGTAGAGATGAGCAGCCATTTGCCAAAAAGAGACTAAGGGCGGCACTGGAGATATTTTTTGCTCCACTCCAGGACCAAGCTACTGGGTACTCCGAGAATGTTGAACGAAGGTTTAGTTGTGGATCTGTCTGGTTGATTGTGTTCTGTCCCCCTGGCTATTCAGAGAGACTCTGCCTGTTTATATATACATTGGCCTGTAACCATAAGAGCGATCCTGAAACCTCCTATTCCGTCGCCATCCTTTCACAGGTCTGCAGGAACAACGAGGTTAAGGCAGTTTGCGCAGTTGGTGAAGCGCCTAGCGTCTCAGATGGTTTACCCCAGTGGCGCTCTCGCGACCCTGTCAACAGAGAACCACTGGTAGTTTCTTCCAGAGTTTCTTGAATCTCCAGACATCCTTGCCGTCTCCGCGTTTTCACCACGGCCGAGCTGCCTGAATGATCTTGGGCGAGAGGAATGGGCTGTGATCTTGCTGAAGATGTTGGACTGGTTACTGGCCTCATTAGTACCGTCATGATTCAACTCCAGCTTTAGTTCTCAGTCTGCTTTGCCGGTTGTTATTGCAGGGACGATTGACAAACCGAGCCCGATACAAGCCCTCATACAGGCGGGAAAGATCAAATCGGATGCCATCAAGGAATATGAGAGATCTTTCAAATACAGATGTTGTCAGAGCTCTTAGCGGCGCCAACAATGCAGTTGTCATTGCTGGTGGCCGACAAGCGAGGATCCGTATATGGCATTTACGATGTTTTAGAGCAAATATGGATGTCGTCCTGGTATTGGGCGAGTCCGTCTGTCCTTGAAAGACGGTTTCGTCTTAAAGGCTTTCGATATCAAATTTGTCAAACAAGTACTCGCGAACGAATATTTGTAATGGGCAGATGTTCCCATAACGAGACTGGAGTCTATTTATGTACGAAATGTTACAAAAGTACGGCCGTCTCCTTAAATCAAACATAGCGGCTTCGCCCTCAACGAAGAACAGCATGGCCTCACGAACTGGCTCACGTCACCCTCCCGGGCAATATGGTCCTGGCTTCAACCATCTTTTCTACTATACAATTTTCGAGTCCCCCTGGCGACTAAGAGCCAATTAGTCTCGGCTGCCTCAATGGGGTGTGTGTTTGCCTGTTTCCATGGTGTCAAAGCCCCAACGGAACCTCAACCTCCATATTTTTCCTTGATGATACTCTGAACCCTTCTGGCGATGTGGGACTGGATGGTGGCCATGGTCAACACGGCGACTTACAATGTCACAAAAACAGGCGCCCACGCCTAGAATATGGGGTTGTTGAAACCACGTCTTGTAGTGCAGAAGCTCCTGCTGGATCTCGAAGGGTGAGGAATAGCTATCTGGGTCCCCCTGAAAGTAATCATATCCAAGACCAAGAGAGGGGTTTTTCACGCGTCACCACCAAGCCACCTTGCAAAAAGGCCGAAGCAGAGAGATATACTCTGTAGTAGTAATATCCATACACCACTGGCAGGCAAAGGATACCCAGGCCAAATGAAAAGAGTGCTCCTCAAAGCAGAAACTAAACTCGTTCTTATTTTAGACAGTCTCCCCCCATAGCGACGACTCAATGCACTCTCCTTGTGATAGCCATAGAAGTCTTCCTCATACCCAGGCAGATCGACGGGCGCGCCACTTTCGCCATTCAAGCGTACTCTGTATTCGTATGAATTCGATCGTATGCCTCTCTTCCCTGTTTCTTCATTTTCCATGCGTGCTGTCTAACGAACCAGCTCTACTCATGTGCTGCATATACGAAGAAAGCTTGTTCAGACCAGTCCGTCAGGTCACCAGCATTCGGAGGAATGGGAGCCTGGA